GACGAAAATAAAACATATACATTCTTAAAAATATCTTCTTTTGCCTTCTGCAGAAGAAAGACAGTCTTTCAGGTTCAGAACGACAAGAAGGAGAGGATGACATTATCATAACTGTTAGGCAAAGGGGAAAACATGAAATACCTCACTTATTTTTAGCTTTTAATTCAAGAGAATGTTGAGCAAAAGTACAGAGTAGAACAACACAGACATTTATTTAAAAAAACTTCAAAAAGGCAAATCATTGTAACTAACAATAATCTGAACCAGCCACAAAAGTCAACAAAATTAAGCTTGCGTCTCTGGCAGACATAAAAATGGACAGCTTTTTCATATACTGCATGGTTAGGTAAAATGTAAACAGTTGTAGCATTCAACTTTTAAACCAGCTTGAGGTGGTATAAAGGTCCTGTCCAGTCAAAAAAAACACTGAGAAACAGAGATTGGAGGTGACAACTGACAACATGGAAATTACCATAAAGCAAGATAGACAAGTTGCAATATGAGCACATTTCTTGCAAACTTTCATTATGAATGTTACTTAAATGGCCCTTGACAATTGTACTAAAATAGTTTTGTCAGCTGTCTTGAGGATATTTTGCACTGATAATTATTTCCTTATGTTCAGAGTATGTTGGCAGACATGTGAAAGACACCATATATTGCACATTATCACTCATTAGAGGGCAGTTACTATATCCAATTCACAGCTGTATACATTGCATATGTTCAGCTAATTCAGTAAGTGTTGTGTTCAGATTAGTCCTTGTGGATTTAGATTACAGATGCATGTTGCAGAATGAATTAATATAAATCCCTTTTGAAATCCAAATGAACCACATGTTGGAAGGTTTCACCAAAACTTGACAAACTTCAATGGTCAAGTAAACTGCAAATGACAAACATCACACATTACATTTGGCCTTCATTAACACTTTACGGTGTTCTACTATGTAACACTTCACATGACATTATAAAGCGTGTACCACTGTATCACAGTAACAACTTCTACATGACTGCTGTCTATTGAATCAATATCACAGACCATAACTGATATCACCATAGTACATTTATCATGGTCCCATGCATTACTTGAAAATCTCAGGCCAAAACAAACTGCCAGTTTGTGAGGAGGATTTTGATTCCCTTGATTACCGAGACAACCGATGTGGCAGGATTCAATTTCAAAGTGTTTGCGTCACCTTTCTTGCATTTGTCCCTAAAAACGTAGATGCATCCATTGCAACTGGCCACTTTCCATAGAGATGGCACGCAGCTCCATACTTCAGGGAAGCGCAGCCGAGTGAAGCTGTCCAGCAGTGGGTTATAGCACACCAGAGAGTCGCCCTCCGCCACCACAAAGATAAGGTCCTTATGGGCGGTGGCATGCATGCATCCGGCAAAAGGCAGCATGTAGGGCTTGGTATGACACCTCTGTGTGGCCGTGTCAAAGCACTGGATAAGGCGAGATGGTTTGGTAAAGAAGTCCATGTCATTTTCCTCCCCACCCAAAAGGTAAATGGTGCCTCCCAAATTGACTCCAGCTGCACCTGACACGGCTGTGTCTAGTTGAGTGGTTTCTTTCCATATGTTATCCTGTACTGTGTAGTAAATGACAGCATTGGAGAGAGTGTCCTGGAGGGTCTTGCCTCCCAGTGAGTATATGGCATCCTCTGTGGACACAGACACTAACGTGTGGTGCAGACGGTCCCGGGGCAGAGGGGCACAGCGCTCCCAGTCCATAGTGTGCATGTTGCATTTCCACATGCGTCGTGGTATGGAGCCCCCTACAACATATAGATCAGCCCCATGCTTGCAGGCAGCTGTGATCTGGTGACACAAGCTGTTCTGGCCACTTACACTGATGGCGTCGTCCTCATCACAATGAAGAGACACAGCCAATGAGTGTGTGCGTGTGTCTTCCTTCCCAATTAAGTATATGTGCACTTTTTCACCAATCTCCTAAAACACAACAAAGTCAACAATGAGCATGTGAACAATATAATAGCAATAAACAAAGGTTGTGCATTCTGCTTGTCAATATTTTAAAGTGATCAGCTACGTAAAATGATCTAGCTGGTTAACATAGATGAGATATTCTGGAAGTTTCAAGAATGATTTCTTATAATACCGTAAAGTAGGAAAACACGTATGCCATCATCTTCACGTAAAGTGTTTAGGAATTTATGGGGTTTCTTGTATAACTATAATAACTATATATATATATATATATATATGGATCATGTTATCACAAAAAGCCAGACTGTGTCAAATAAGCTATATTATTTTTGGTGGGTAATAACTTTGGAAATGTTCAATAGTGTTACCTTTCCAATGGGAACTTGCGTTGTGTCCCCTAGAGGGCACTATGGGGAATGCCTCTGGCATGACCGGTCTCTAAAGCTTTAGTCTAAACACGACAATGAACTTGACATTGGCAGGCGACAGCCTATGACGTCACAACTGGTGTGGCCCAAGAGTATACACACACATACATATACTATAAATATATAGTTATTATAATTATACAAGAAACCCCATAAATTCCATAATTTGCAGCTATAATTGCGAATTGTCTTTGCAAAGAAAAATTAACAATTGATTAACAAATAATATAAATCAAAATATTACACATTATTTTAAATTAAATATGTATTAAAAATGCAAATATTATACATTTACAATTATATGTACTGTAAATATAAAATAATTAATTTAAAATTAAATAAAATTTATCATTGTGAAAATTTTGGGCAGGTGAGTAGAAATCTTAAAGGGATAGTTCACCCAAAAGATGTCACATGGACTATTTTAATGATGTCTTTACTATCTTTCTAGGCCTTGAACATGGTAGTTGCATTGCTGTCTATGCAGGGTCAGAAAGCTTTCGGATTTCATCAAAAACATCTTAATGTGTGTTCTGAAGATGAACGAAGGTCTTATGGGTTTGGAACGACATGAGGGTGAGTAACTAATGACAGAATTTTCATTTTTGGGTGAACGACCCCTTTAATTACAGGCCTGACTGGGCCAGTGAAGAAAAAAAAAATTTAAATAAATAAAACATTTGTAAATAAATAACTAAAACTGTTGAGCCTAGAATATGTTTTCATTTAAAGAATACAGAATATCAATGCAGCATTAAAGGTAAATTATTGCTTAAAATACTGTTTAATATCCATTTAATCCATCACTACTAACCTTTAGGCTATCTAGAAGCATATCAGAATACTCCTCTCGTTCGACTTTGTTGTGATTTATCCAAGATTTAATAGCTGCAGTTGGATTTTGTGAGCTTGGCACACCATCTGAAAAAGCAAATGCAAATTACAAACATAAGTTAACATGATCTCTGACTCTTTCTGATTAAAATCTCTCATCTGAAGTGAAACCAATTTGCTGTTAATGCCATTTATTCACCTTTAATGATATCTATGAGAAGGCACAATGGCAAGTTCAGGAACTCCTCTGTCTGGTGCAGCTGAACCAGGTGAATCTTCGCACAGTGCTTGGCAGCCGTATACAACTCCTGGTCACTGTGTCTATCTGCCAACCACATCACCTGAAATAAAAAATGAACAACAGTTTTCTACTGATTCAGCTGACATTTATCAATACTTTTTTTGTGTGTATATTACAAAAAGTAGTTAAAACCAAAGGTTTCACCTGGAGGCAGTTCTTGACGTCCACAGTTCGTGACAGGAAGCGAGAGCACTCCTCAAACAGGGCAGTGAGCTGATACATATCAGCCATCTCATAAGTGTCCTGCAGGTCTTCAACCCTTAGTTTGATCGTCCCATGGTAGATGTAGTCCACCAGCGACTGGAAGACTGGTGCACTGACATCCTTCAGCTCAATATTACGATCATAAGTTTCTCTAAGGTTAGAGGTGAACATGGACCTGAAGAAGCAGCTTTGTGCAGAAAGCACCAGGCGGTGAAGCTGGAACTCTTTGCTGTCCACAGTGATGGTGACATCTGCAAACAAACCATCCTCCAGACACAAGTCCATGATGCTCTTCACAACACGGCTGGAATGGGAGCTATCTGTGAAGGTGTAGCCCTGGAAGTAGTTTTCATCCCCTGATGGACCTCCAACACTGTAACCCCCGTCTTCACTGGACTCCATGGCGCCTATAAAATCTAAAGCAGCTTCACCTGAATACTAGATGAATGACTTACTGGATCAGCTGTCCCTCAGATGGATTCATTCATGTAGTTTTAATTGTCGACTGGGAGGCTGGGATTTGCCTTAGGATATAACACTCAGTAGGCTCTAAAATTGCTTTCAGATTGATTTAAAGCCATATGTAGAATTCTTTATGAATAAAAAACTGCTGCTTGCTATCTACACAAAAAGTATTCCAAATAGTTTAATAAGATATTTATAGATGGTTTTGCATTTATACGGTTCCATCAGAACTGATCGACTTGGTATTCGAATCAGCGCAGTTCGCTCAGTCAAATTATGGCCATCTATGGTAAACTGGCCAGCTATGTAGCTAATGCTAACTTAAGCCATTTAGATTAAGGTCTGTTTCAGTTTCACCATCCTAATGAGTCCACAATCGAGAAAACGGTGTGCCATATGTAAAACTGTAGACAGCACACGCGCGTTATCATTTATAAATGTTAGCATGTGTTAAATCTTTGCCATACCAGAAGACTGCTTGTGAGCTTCAGGAAGTAAACAGCACATTCTTCGTATTGACGTCACCGCGTGTTTACGCGACTCTCTGCTGCGCCCGTGTGTTGGAGGCCTGTCATTGCATTGCATATCGAAAAAATATATACATTTTTAAACGTATTTTCAAGTAACTTAGCTTTTCATTCATCTCTATTACACAATATCATCTTACAATTATTTACAATAAAAAAAGAAATAGATATAAGTCACCATCTCTAGTAGTCGCATTTTTTCTCTCCCAGTTTGGCTCAAATTGTGTTTTTCCGCAGGTGAAAAAATGCGACGCACTAAAGACTGTCTAACTCGGGAATCCCGTTTTTGTGGGGCTAAAACGGATGACGACTGAAAGCTGCGTGAATCAAGTGCAGTTTTATTTTTGTTGCAATGTTGTTGACTCAGATCAAAGTGGTATGTGTTGTCCTGTGCCTCATTGGCTTCAGGGAGCCCTGGAATACCTCAGGTAAAGACTTTCAACTTAAAGAGACGACATGTGCAGTTCTTCTGTTTAAATACTTAAATCTTTGTTGTTATACACCTTTATGTAGATTAATCATATGTGCAGGCTTGTTTTCCTTGTGTGATCATAATAGTAGTACTTGATTTTATTAGCTATTCCAGTGCTGTTGGACTGTGGCACTGGCACTTCTGTGGCATGTTGGACATGATTTCTGCCAACCGTGACGTCAGAGTCGCATATTTTCCCTTTATTTTCTGCAAGCGCTATTTGATGCTTAAAACGTTGGTTTTGTTTTACTCATACTCAGTTTATCATGGCATTGCTCACATAGCTCTGAATAGCTCAGACTTGTTTGTCTTACAGCTCAAGTTTAATGCTTTTCATGTAACTCATGAGTCTGTGCTATCATGCAGATGTTACAGCGGTTCTGCACGGAGGACTCGCACATCAAGGCTTTATCAGATCTGTAAATGATGCTAACCTGATGTTTGAGGTAAGAAGGTATAGCTGTAATACATTCCACAAAGCAATAAAAGCCACACTTCATTTTACCATATGTGACCCTGGACCACAAAACCACATTTCTTTTTTATTGAGATTTATACATCATCTGAAAGCTGAATAAATAAGCTTTGTTAGGATAGGACAATATTTGGCCGGGATACAACTATCTGAAAATCTGGAATCTGAGGGTGGGAAAAAAAAAAAATCTAAATATTGAGAAAATCTCCTTTAAAGTTGTCCAGATAAAGTTCTTAGCAATGCATATTACTAATAAAAAATTAAGTTTTGATATATTTACGGTAGGAAATTTACAAAATATCTTCATGGAACATGATCTTTACTTAATATTCTAATGATTTTTGGCATAAAAGAAAAATAATAAATAATTTTGACCCATACAATGTATTTTTGGCCATTGCTACAAATATACCGTGCTACTTATGACTGGTTGTGTGGTCCAGGGTCACATATATTGATGTACAGTAATTAAATTCATTATTGTAGTGAACACATTCATTTATTTCAAAGATTTATTTAAAAACTATATTTAATACTATAGCAGTGTGTCACTGGAATGATACAATTTCTCTTAAATACACTTTGAGGTGCTTTTTTATGACCATTTTTAATATGAAACTTAATAGCCTTTATTGTACATAAAATGTTAAGCAGAAAATCATTCTACATTTCATCTAAAATATTTTAAACATTTCTAATTGCTCCATAAGTATTATGCACGCAATTTTTATAACTATGTATTGAGAGACTACATGGAATATTTAATCGGTTCTCACACTCCTGGACTGTTTAAGCAAAATGCTAAATAAATACTATGATTATAATCTTATGATCTAACTAAACTACAAATATAGACAATTGCTGAAGAAACAACTCTATGGAGTCCCAAAGGGCACATAGTGATGGAAAACATGAGATAGAAGGAATGTATTTTTAATAATAATCATGTAATTATATTTTCTGAATTTGCAAGCAAAACGTTTGTTCCCCAAGAAACTTTGCATTTGCTCACAAGAATGTTGTTTTCCAAGAAACTCAAGAAATTTTTACATTTCAGTGCTATTGTTAGCAAAGGCACATTTAAACACAATATTTTTGCAAGCAAACATAAGCTAATTTTCCCCCCATCACCACATCGCCTAATGGGCTCCATACCATACAGATCAGCTCACAATCTTTTTTTTTTTTAAATCCTAGTTCTTATGGAGAGGACTGCAGATTGATGCTGACAATAATGTTGTCATGCGGGATCAAGAAATTGCATCGATGCGACAAGGGCGAGCTTTCTTATCTCTTATAAATGACAGTATCCCAAAGACTGTCTCTGCAATGGAGAAGTTACTGGCTATGCTGGAAGAGCAAGACAACTCTTTCACTCAGACCCGTTTTGAGACCCTCCTCCTCGGGACTATCTATTCAGCCTACCAGGCACAAAACCAGAGGCTAGAGTCGGAGCAGCAGGCCTGGATGGATATTCTTGGTCGTTTTGCAAATGTTACTTTCGTTCAGCTACGCAAGTCTTAACTAACAATAAACATACCAGTGATTCACAAGTTCACACGTACAGAAAATCAGATAAAGAGTGTGCATATTTGGCGTGCTGTCCGAGGGGAGGGCTCTGAGCTCGGAATTTGGCCTGAACCCAGAGTACTCACCCATATTCTAGACTGGGATAGGAAAAGTCGAGTGAGGAGTTGGGGTGGTGAAGGGATGCTGGAAACTGTTGAGGGACAGAGGGGAGTCTG